TTTTGGATTGCGAATCAACTGTTGCAGTGTACCTAATGAGCAGAGTGCCGCATTGCAACATTTCCGTACCGTTTCAACACTGTCCTATTATTCACGTAATGCGTACTTACGCCCCAGTGGATATATCCGAACACACCCTATTTGAAACTAGAATTCAGTTTTATAACCACAGATAAGCAATAGCTATTTTGCCGCCAAGTTCTTGTTACGAAACAATTATACCTACTAATCAAAATCAAACCATTGAAAGACGTATTATTGACAATCTCGGTCTATGTACTAACATTAACAATTGTGTTAACGCTAGTGAACCTATTAATACGGGTTCCATAATATAAGACATAATTTCTGTAACTAGTCGTAATCAACAAAAGCGCGGGAAATATATAGTGCATAATTTACCTTATGTATTCGTATTCTTTTTTTGAGCAAGTAATCACTACGTTAAAAATATCCAAAGTAGCTACGTTGTCCAACTAAAGTATACCATTATATTTTATTATCATTAAAAAATACAAGGGCATAAGCTAACAAAAAAGATTCGTTACGGTAGCTAAGTACGAGTATATTAATACTACGATTACTACCTTTTGTCTTATTTTTTTGTTACATATTTTTCATTGCAAATAAAATATACAGGTTCAGATTTTCTGAGCATTGTCTCTTACTACTTAAGGATCTTGATCATTATCACCATAATCAAGCTTGAATTTATTAACTGTATCTGCAGCCGTTGATACTGAAGGTCTGATTGGACGCTATTACAACTTAGCGAGGTACATCAATTGGTAAACAATGTAGATTTCTGTAGGTAAGGATTTTCTATGGTTATCTTTTACAAAGAACAAAATAAATCATGACTTTTTATTTTTTTACTTTTTATTTACATTACTTTACATACTATATCAGCAATGAGCCGAAGCCTCAAGACATCAGTTTATGTTTTAAAAAAATACAGATAATTTGGAACACAAAAATGATTGACGTCATAGAATTCCAGGCCCGTTATTATTAACAAATTGATCTTTGAATTATGATTCAGCAAACGACTTTTATTTCTTTATCTCAAAGGAATTCCATGCTAAGGAATTCTACTAAATATTAATTATATTCAGGGTTGTCACTATATTAAAATTTAAAACAACTTCATGTAAATAAGCATTTTAATACTAAAGTATCGTTACATTTGCCTCTTTTAAAAATTCTAAACAATCTTCTCTCTCGAAGACTAAAGAAAATTATACACAAAGATCCTTCGTTTTACCTATTCTTCTATCCCGTGCATTATTCTTTTTCATAATTCATCTCACATATATTAAGGTCCTCTCTAAGACCCACATGGTCTTATTTATGCATAGTATCAGTAGTTTACAAATACCTATTAACAGTATTATCTTACTAATATTATAAAACGCGGAAGTTTGTGAGTGTGGATGGATGGATATTTGTTACTCTTTTACGCAAAAACTACTAAATGGATTTTAATTAAACTAAAGAGTAACACAGCTTATACAGTAGAATAACATATAGGCTATAAAATCTCGAGGTTGAAACCGCGGCCATAGGTAGTTTATTATATATTAGAAATGCTATATCGCATCAGTGGTAACCCTAAATATTTTAATGAAATATACAAGTTTATTATAGTAATTATTGGACCAAGAATCTGTCAATGGCATCACGACTCATGTTTACAGTTAAACCACAGCTCAACCGATCAACAACTGCCGGCTTTATACAATTAGATTCAATTGTTCAAATTATAGTATAAATTATCTTGAGCAAAAATACAATGGTAATTGTACTATTTTGTATAGGCTGGCCACAACTATGTAGTATTTTTTTTCTTTAAGACTCCGGCAACCATGCACTTTATTGACGAATAATAAATTTAACAGATTAACTAAATACGTAACAAAATTATTTGCATGGCATAGGGAAGATTAATACAAAATTATTTGTTAAACCAACTTTTTGTAATAATATATGTACAACAAGTACATATATTATTACAAAAATTTTTAATCATAGCAAGAAATGTAAAAATGTAACTATTATAAGCAATTTTTTTTTCTTTATATAGAAATAACTATACTAATAACTATAGTTACTTCGTTTTCACCGCTTTTTTTAAGCTAGAACCTATGACCTATGTATGTGTGTATTTGTTAAGATATAATATGACCTTTCAGCCTCTTGTACACGTTATATATTTTACAATTATCCCTACCGTCTAGTGCAGTAGCTATTTCAGTTGAGAAGAACTTGCAAAAACTTATCTGATATAGTTTATCCTCGTCATATAATCTCAATCAGCCATTTAGTTGTGAAAAACTAACAAACAAACATACTGTCGCATTTATATTATTTGTATGGAAGTACGGATAAACAGTCAATCGGTAATGTAAAATGACATACAATTTGTATTATTAAATAAGAGCGGAAAATAATGATGACCGTTGTTTCTACATTTTGTCTACTTAGACTTACTACACAGCTGCAAGCTATGCCGTAGATAGAGAGTTATGTTAATATTTTAACAATAGAATATTTGGGTCACTGAAAGAGCGCGAAAGTGCAATAAGAATTGGACGTGCCTGTGAAAGTAACAGAATACGTGAGAGCTTTCTTGTTTCTCGCTTATTTCTATGAATTTATATCACGTCATTCTAGAACATTCGCGAATTGCATTCGATTGTACCTACAAACTTTTCCCGCGTTGTGAATGCAGATATAAATCATATTGAAGTGAAGTTTTGTTCCAAATTTGAAACAAAGCATAGACAATGACTAAGTTACAGATTGTTCATACAGTTTATTTTATTATTCTTGTGAAACTGTGCACTCTTTCTGTCCATAGATTATAAATATTAAAATTAGAATATAAGGTGAAATAAGTAGTTACATACAACCATTTTCACTTTTTCCTCATTCATCAATACAAACAAACGCACCGGTTATTCGCAGGCATATATTACGTTTGCTTGACAGAGTACGCGTAACTTTTACATCACCACAAAGTCTCTCTTCATCGTCAATATTGACAACTGATTTTTAATCCATTGTTAAATCTTATTATGCTATATTGTCTGTAAATGTATTATTTTGTTTAATCTTATTTAGAATTTGTAATCTAAATTAATTGCAACACTATTTATAATAGAGCTCACCAGACACATGTGCATTCTCTATATGCTCTAATCTGTACTTATATGTTGTGTCGTTTCAGCTTCATAAGCTAACCCACGCAAAAATATAAAGCACAACCTACTTACAAAATAGTCATGTAGCAATAGGTACCTAGACTAAAGATTAATCGAACTCTTAACCGGTTTAGTAACGTTCTAATCTAGGTGTCTGTTTAAGATATTGTGATTTAGTCAGTAGCCTTAAGCTCAATCTGTCACGATTAAATTTATTATTTATATTTAAAATGTCAAGTATTACATTATCAAATGTATAATAATGGTATCAAAGATATATCAAAACAATATACATCTGCATAATAATATACTTCTACAGGTAGCTGAGAATTTGTTTGTTTAAACGTGATAATTTCTGGAAATACCCGATGATTTTGAAAAAACTATTTGCATTTGATAACCGATTATTTAAGAAATAATAAGCTATTAAACATCGCGATATAGGTATTAGAAACTGGGCAAAAAAAAACCATCCCGAAAAAACCCTAATCGCAAAAGTTTTTTTATTAATCGGTGCGGCGCGACGGGTGGGTGAAACCACAAATTCGATAAAATTTTAATGTTGAAAAGTAATATAACGAGTAGTAATTTATAGATTACTAGCGATCCGCCTTAGATATACACTGTGTATTTTAAAAGAAATTCAAGGAAGTTATAGCAAAAATCATATAAAATTTCGATGCCAAATTTAGAACACGTGAGTAAAGAAGCAGACAGGCGAAAATAGAGACCTTATATACTATAATATTTATAGATCTGTCATATATAAAAAACTTCAGTGTAAGGTGTATGATTTCAACAGTTTAAAGCAATAATTTAATTATATTGTAATTAGTGATTAATAATAAAGAAGTCACAAAATACATTATAAAAAAAATGTAATCGTTTTCATTATGCTTAACAATGATTATCCGTTAATTAAGGAACTCAATCATTAATAATATTGTATAATTATAGTGAACGCAGCAATTATATTTATTTTCAAAGCTAATGAATACTATTTCGATGAAGTAACACGAAGTAGATTATGAAATAACGAAGAATTACATTTAAAAGTCAAATTAGTTAGGAAAAGTATTGAGTCACGTCCATTATCGAATAAGAAAGGAGTATTTATCATTTTTCAATACGTAATTTTCCTACAATTATATAAATATTGTATTAATGAATAATTACGAGTTATTATTTAGTAATTAGACATCCTATTAATTATTTAATTGTAGGAAATTTCTATCTATTTTGTAAGGAAACTCCGTGTTAAGTAGAAATTATTTCCTATTTCTTTTCAAACTACTGTTAATATTATATCTTGCATGTAATTGTTTTTACGTAATTGCATTTTTTTCTTTTTTATATAATTACACTGAAAAATTTTAACACTCAAGACTATATAAACACATTTTCTTTGATATACCATAAAATGTAGTTTATCTATATATGTATGCATATCAGTGAATAGTAAAAATAACCTTCATTTTAAAAAGCCCAACCGGCTTTTCGTGTATGCAATCAAATTTAGTAATTTTTTTAAAGAAAATACAACCCATACTTGCTTATAATACTGTTTGTGTAGATGAAACGTGGTTTTAAATCTATAATATTTTTAGAATATATTTATTATGTGCCAGATTTGTCTCTCGTCTTTATAATAATAATTTAATGTGATTTTATCGGTCAGTATAAATTATAGTTTTTTATGAATATTGTAATAATTATTTGGAGCATTTATAAACACTTCATCCCTTTCGGCCTTTCCACATCCTCCCTCGTTCCCACATGGAATCACAAAGCACTGACCTCTCAGAATATCAGCAGGGATGAGCCTTCTGAATGTTTTTGGCCTCTCCTCTTCCTTCGTTTCTTCGGCGGCCAGCGCCAGAGCAAAAACGGCGAATACAACCAAGTATTTCATCTTAACCAACACCTTACGAGTGCGGAGTTTGAAAAAAAAATATAATTTCCGCTTTTTTTCTGTTGGCAGCACCGTCCGCGCGACACAACTGAGTTCGTAAAGCGATTCCCGCGCAGTTTTATTGCTGACCAATGGCGGGGAGTGAGTGGTAAGATGGCGTATCGATGTATCATTTTATAATTCACTGATGTCTCAGGGTTGGCTTTGTTGCGAAATGATGTAATTTTTACTTTTTTTTTTGTTATATCTGAGAGTGGTAGGTTACAGGAAAGCAATGAAATTTGATATATTGGGTTATTGGCACCTGGGGAACTCATTGATATAGATACTATATGTTAAATATAAATTAAGTTAAAAATAATAATGCACCAGAACGTTTTGATTCTGATTATAAATCAACTACCATCCAGGCAAAAACTAATATTTACTACATATAACTAACAAGAAAATAAATTCTATCGAATGCAAAAAGTATCATCTAAATCTGTTCAGTCCCGGAGATACAGCTAATCATAAAGGTAAAAGTGTAGCGTCGAGAGAAAAGTTTATTGAAATTAATTTATACAAGCCATTTCTTAAACTTTTAATCATTCAACCTCATTTATATTTTGGCTAATAATTCTCTTGAAAACCAACGCCATATTTTGAAATTTTAACAGTTCTCTTGGATAATAATAACATCGCCTACCATACGAAATCTATCTATACTTAAAAATCTGTTTGTTAGTCTTGCTGATCTCTGTAAAATTAAAAACGGTTATCTAGATTTCAATGTATGTTATATATCTTTGCTATAACATAGTATATTGTAGGGGTAAAAACAAAAAAGTGGGAAGAAGCCCAAAAGGTGAGCTGTAATTTAATTTTTTTTTAATATGGGAATCGATACTTCTGTTTATATACTTTTAATAGATGTCTTTATGTATCAGAAAATATAGAAAAACTTACATTAGAATTGATAATCGGTTAAAAGTTATAATAAAATATATTACATATACTATGTTATATGAACTTCTTCAGTTCATGTAGAAACTCATATTATGAGTTTCCATTCAATCATCATACAACGAGTCCGTCAACTGGTAGAAATACCTACTCGTACATTTAAGCGTATATCATCAACAAGTTTACGGAGCACTTAAGTCTAGACCAAGGTCTAGACTCTAGCCTAAACAGATTTTAATGCATTGAGATTTTAAAGACTCGTTGGATGTTTTAATTATGAGAGCTCTGCTTGACGACAAATATCTGTGTATCTGATGCATTTATTATATTCAAAATTATTAGATACTAGCTGTTCCCGCGACATCGTCCGCGTGGAATTTAACTTTATTATTCTAAAATAAAAGTAGCCTAAGTTAGTCGTTATTACATCAGCTACCTACCAAAAAACGTCCCGTTAAAATTGGTCCAGCCATTTCAGAGATTAGCCGGAACAAACAGACCGACAGACAGACAGACAAAAATTGTAAGAAACGTTTTTTTATATATGTACCGTATTTATATTCATGTAGTAAAAAACGGTAATTTCAATATTACAAACAGACACTCCAATTTTATATGTATAGATGTATAGATTAGAAAATTATAACCGACACTGATAGTGTATGTACTAGGCTTCGTGGTCTACTAGTTTAGCACACCGCTTTAGTTCCGATGGTCGTGTGTTCGATGCATTCATAAGTATTTGTTCATGCTTTTGCAATAGCATATCTGAATTTAAAAATTAATCTGTATTATTGTAAACATTTACAACATTTATTTGAAAAGAATACGAGCTTTGTTTTGTCAGTTTTTTCATCTCGAAATCATTCCGAACTGATGGTATATTTGACATATCATTAGAGTCTATAATAGACCTCCATGAATAAAGACATTTTGAATTTGAATTTGATTTTGAATATGAATGTCTGTATCGGTCTGGGTGTTTTCCATGTAGGTATATTATGTATACATTAAAAAAATGTATTTACGAATATGTATCAGTTGTCTAGTACCAATAAGACAAGCTCTACTTAGCTTGAGGTATATGGTGCTATATAATAATAATAATGACACAGGACAATTCATATATATAAACAGAATCACGAACATCATAAAATATACTGTAATACCACGGACTCACAATTTGCCTTACCCTTACTATCCGAATGATTGGCTAAAACAGTTTGTATAGCACTAATGTCCAATATATTAATTTTATAGCCTAATATTATTGTATATTGTAGACTCTCGTTCCTGACACACTCCAATAGATTTGAATGACACACTACAACAAATGATATCCTCAATTTCTACCATTTTGTACATTACTTTTTTTTCATCTGATATACATACTTTGCGGATGGATAATGTCCAGAACAGAGTCTTTGCCTTTTTTTATAATCTCAGGACAATTTAAGCTGCCTAAAGCTTGTGTTATGGGTACTAGATAACTGATACAAATACATAGATATATTTTTTACATACTTACATACAGAATATACCGATATACCATAATGTATACAGAACACCCAGACCGACACAAACAATAATACTCATGAATACAAATGTTTGCGTTTTGCGAGGAATCGAACCCGCGGTCTTTGGAAGTAAGGCGGTGTGTTAAACCGCTAGACCACCGAGGCCGTCGATTACATTACATTTTTACAATGAAAGATAGTGTACCTTTCACAGAATTGCACCAAGGCAGCCGAGGAGGTTATTTCTATATTGTCTTGTAAGAAATGCCCTTAGAATGAGGTAGGTAGATAGAATATACTTTATTTGTAACACACAGTAAAGAAATGGTATAAACAATGTATTAAAGGACAACATGTATAGTTACAATAAGGCGGCCTTATTGCTGAAAGCAATATTTTCAATTTCAATCAGATATAAAGACACAGGTGTCCTCGATTACTTTTTACAAAGTCTATAAAATCTAAAACGTCATACTAATTTCTCGACTAATAAAACACAATACTAACATATACTATAGTGCAATACCCGCTTTCTGTTTTGTAACGATACAAGAGATGTTACCCTTTCACATTACCTGCTCCATAGATTGAATCATCGTACTGAAGCACTTTCAAATCAAATATTATTTATTGCACTTAAACCTAAGTAGACTCTTCCGTCATTATTAAGGAAGGAATTCTTAACAAAATAACAGTATTTAAACAATTACAACTGCTTTTTTATGCGGTTTTATCGATGTGGGTCTTGTTGGATGCTAACCATAAATTATAGCACATGTTAAAGGAGGAGGAAGACGTGACAAAGTGTGATATTTTGTGACACATGTCACAAAATGTCAAACTTTGTCCGGTGATAGAAGTCTTAAAGTTTCGTGATATCACTTTTCTAAATTTCATTAAGTATCCACTTGGGTACTTAATGAAATTTAGAAAAATTTTGTATATCGCTTGAATTGTATACTTATACAATTCAAGTAATATACAAAATTTTACCTATTAACAAAAACTTAAAATATTTCTTAATTAACTTATAATATTTAATTAAATTTATAATAAAATATTAAATTTTGTAAGTTAATTAATAATATTCAATTAAATTACAAAATATGTGACTTCATACTAGGCAGGAAGGAGTCTCGCACATATGTGTAGTATACAATAATCTTCATTTTGTATATCATAGAAAAGTGTAGTGATTAAGTTACATGAAACTTAATAGAATAACAGACGATTATGTAAATTATATTTATGTAACAACATAAATTAAACTAATTTTGAAATAAAGGGTCAATATTGACCAATCTATATATATAAATTAAAATTGGAGCGTCTGTTTGTAATATTGAAATAACTGTTTTTTTACTAGATGCATATGAATGTAAATACAGTACATACACCAAAATAATTTTTCAATTTTTGTCTGTCTGTCTGTCGATCTGTTTGTTCCGGCTAATCTCTGACATAGTTGGACCGATTTTGTCAGGACTTTTTTGGCAGGTAGCTAATGTAATAAGGAGTAACTTAGGCTACGTTTATTTTAGAAAAATAAAGTTAAATTCCACGCGGACGAAGTAGCGGGAACAGCTAGTATTATATATACGTTATTGAGTCGGTACGGACGCGTGAAAAGAAGGCCACCTGACTACGTCAACAATTTGGCGCTATAGATTTTCGTTCCCGGTCAAAGAGGCGGAGGCAGGCCACGGAAGGGTGGGAAGATATAATTGTTAGAGACATGATGGAGTGCGAGATCTCTGAGGACGATGTCCGGGAGTAAAGTAGTGGAGAAAAAAAAGAAAGATAGTTTTTCGCTATGACTGCCTTACAACGCTTTTTATTTCTACCTAAACAGCTAGCTACTAGTGAATGTCATAACAATGGCATTACGCTTGCCTTTTGTACGCAATTGCAATAAACAATAAAAAAAAGCTAACATATATACGCATGTGAAATATATAGCTAGGAAGAGAGCGAGATTATATATATCTTACAGACTAGAATACATATAAAATAATGATATCTTAATCTACAACGTGGGCACTACACTGACCACGGCAGTCTGCCACGTAATACACCAACTTTGTCTCATATTGTATATACCTTACATACTAACAATGTTATATAGTAATAAAAATAATTGTTTCTGTTATTATGTCACTGTTAGCGGCAGTCTTTCACGATAGTGTCGATAAACGGCGACTTTTTTTACTTGTAAAAGATCCTGGACGGGTCTCCATGAGGCTTTTCTCCAGCCCTGGGTACTGTGAGACCCCTAGTCAATAAAAATCTCCAAGATGTCCCTCACCCAACGCCATGTGCCGGAGTCGCTGGATCAAATAGAAATCCACCGCGACTCACCTATACTTATGACCTTCCCCAACCTATCAAAATATACGTGCTAAGCAGATTGGACAATGGTACTTCAGAATCGACCCAAATATGGATATAATACGCGTTGTGATTATGAATGACAATGTTGCAATCGATCGACTGAATGAACGAGTGACTCTTCATAGTACAATAAGCATTCAGGCCAACTGTGTTGAGGTTTACCGTTTTTGTGGCAAAGAAAAACTAAATCTATATTAAAGACCGAATACGAGACAACACATTCCTTTGTTGATAAATTATGTAATTAAAGTCAAG